GGCAGCCTGGCCTATGTCATGGCCATCCTGGAGTACACTAATGCCCTGTCACCAGGTCATGGTTGTCCTTGGGAGACAATGGTGAGACCAGGGGAGAAAAGCCACATGCATATGGCCCTAGGCAGAGCCCAGCCCTAGCAAGCAAGGACAGGCCTGGGACTGACAGGCATTGGCCTTCATCTTCCGAAGCCCAGGAGTGCAGGTTGTGACCTTCTGTAGCCACCCACAGCCCCATGGCCACATGTCTGGGAGGAAAAGGAACACAGGGTAAGGGTGGCCAAGGAGTGAGGTCAGTGCTGGAGCAGCTCAGGGAGGAAGGATGGCTCGGGGCTGCTGGTCTCAGGAGGTGCCTGTGGGAGGTAGGAGCCAAGCCCGGTGACGGGGCAGAGCAGGCAGGGTGGTGTGGCTGGAGCGGCTGCAGCTCCATACAGTGGGTGGGCATGGCCAACCCTGCAGGGGGACACAGTGTGGGCAGTGGAGGCCGTGTGTGTGTGTGTGTGTGTGTGTGTGTGTGTGTGTGCATGCACACGTGTTGAATTTACTAGTGACAGAGGATGCTTGTGAATCTGGGGACCTTGAGCTGGCATCCGAGCCACACAGCTCCTTCATGATTCCCAGGCAGGACTGGAGAGTTCAGGAGCAGAGGGGCCCGGGGCCTGTAGGGTGAGGACACAGCCCAGTTGTCCTTCCCAGCACAGGCTGCACAGCAGGGGGCCACACACATGGGTGCAGTGACACTGAGACACAATGTGACCTGGTCCACTCAGACCTCAGGCTGCAAAGGGAGACTTAGGCTCCGGGTGGGTTTGACAGATCACACATAGGCAGTGGCCAGAGAAGCATCTTTTTAATGTCACCTTGGAAGGAGACATTCCTGAGGGGTTAAGGAAGCTCGGAGACAGTTACTGCTGTGTGGGATTGAGCACTTTCCCCACAAAGAGCGGAATGTTGGTGTTTTCCTCCCTGATGAAGAGAAGGAAGGGCCTGTTGAACTTGATGGTGAGGGCCTTCGGCCAGGCCCAGTATTTCAAATCACTGGCCCATTCAGTCCCTGCTCTTTTATCATCGAAGGTCAGCATTGCCTTATGCACGGCCTGGAGGGGAGAGAAGCAGAGGCAGGCACTGAGGCTGGGCTGTCCCCTCCACAGGCCTGAGCAAGGCCCAAGTGGAAGGCTCTTCCAGGATGCCTCACGAGGGCCTTTCTCCTCCTAGTGGTCCTGTGCTGTCCACAGCACCCATCCCTCATGGTCACACCAGAACTTTCTCAGCTTTGGCCTGGCCTCATCTGCTGTCCTGTGCTTCCTTCCTGACCTCTATCTTTCCCATCCTAGCTACACCCTTCATGTGTAGAAAGGGACAGTTACGTGGAGGCCATGTCCTCTCACAAGTCTCGCCTTTGCAATGTACAGTGATGAGCTCCTGGGATGAGGACTCTGCTGGTGACCTTGATGGCCAGGCCCACAAGTGCACAGCCCTCGCTGGTCTGCACCCAACCCTGGTCCCCTTTAATTTTCTTAGAAATTGGGCTCTTTGGCTGAACTCACTCATAATTCAGACCTAGTGCTTCACCACCAGCTCTGAATCTTATAGATGGAAGATTCTAGAACATTCTGTAAAGTCATTGAGCCTAAGTCTCTCTAAGTATGGGTAAATTGAAGCTTAAGAACCCAACTGACCTAAAAATGATGAGACTGAGTGTAAGTGAGCCCCTGAGGTGATGTCCCTGCAGTGGCAGCAGCACAGGTAGCCCCTTCCTTTATTCCATCCTCTGGGTCATCCGATCCCAGTTAACTCTGTGTGTCCTGGGCATTCGCTCATCCTGGACCTTGTCTGTGTCCCTTGATTCCTCACTCAGCCACATGCCTGTGCTGCTCCC